AATTTTCTTTTTTTGTTCAGGTTTGTTTCTTTGTCGTTTGCATTTTATTTTAAATGTTAAACAGACGTGTTATATTTAAAATAAAAACCCAAACTGCACCTTTAATCAGAACCAGAACCAGTCTCCTGTTGACCGCTAAAGGCCCAAAACGCTCTGGAGCTCTTTAACTGATCGATACCAGCGCCGATCAATAGACGAGGACCAGATCCTCACATGATGTGGTTCAGAGTCTAAACATCAACATCAACAGAGGACCACCAGGACCACCGGGACCACCAGGACCACTGGGACCACCAGGACCAGCAGGACCACCAGGACAGAGACTCCTAACCTTCACCAGATCCTGTATATGTCCAGGTCTGGATCACAGAACCAGAACCTTCAGGATCCATTCTGATTGTTCACACTGTCCGTGAAATAAAACGAACAAGAGAGACACAAACTAACGACGACACGACGACGAACCCACAACGTGTCTCGTTGTTTGTCTCTTTGTGACCATTTTGCTCGTCTTTGTGCTCGTTGTTTGTCTCTGTGTGATTGTTTTTACTATCTGAGGCCATCTTGTGTCTCTTTTTTTGCTGTTTATGGTTGTTTTCTGTCTCTCTGTGGCCAGTTAGCATCACTCTCTGGTCATTTTGTCTTTTCTTTGAGATCATTTTGTTTGTCTGTGTTGTTTTTGTCTGTTTACGGTTGTTTTTTGTCCTCTTTGTGGTCTCTTAGTGCATATTTTGTGTCTTTTTTGGCTCATTTGTGTCTCTTTGTGGTTGTTTTGTGTCTTTAGGTGGTTGCTTGGTGTCTCTGTGGTTATTTTCTGTCATTTTCTAGTTGTTTTGTGTGTATTTTTTTGGTAAATTTGCTTCTGTTTGTGGTAATTTTGTGTCTCTTTGTGAGATTTATTTACTAACATCATAATTTTATCCTTATTAATCGACACGTTTGCTGTCTTTCTGTCCTCTGTAACACAATAAAGCCGGATTATGAACCAGTCCTGCTGCTCCTCCTGCTGGTCAAACTGAGTCAGTGCATCAGAGCAGCTTCAACAGGCGTTAATCTGATTGGTTCTGCTGTTTGTAGGAAACACAGCTGACTGAGACAAACACTGAGCTGAGCAGCAGGTTGAGAAGAAATCCTGCAAGAATAAGTTGAGACTGGTTCAAATACAGAGGTTGGAATAAAGCAAACTGGTTTAAACAGATGCTCTGTAGTGAGGTTTATTTAACCCTGTTGGTGTTTTACTGTTTCAGGTGTAACCAGGATGCTGCTGCTGGTGATGAACAGGATGAGCTCAGTCAGTCTGCTGAGACTCGGTGGATCAGAGACGCTTTAAGAGTTTAGAAACACAACGAATCTTCATCAGCAGCAGCTCAGAGTGAAACCACAACGCTGCACCGAAGACCTAGTTCAACATGAATCATGTGTTTTAATGGTGAAACCGCAGCTCTGCCAGAAATAAATACAACAATCCTTCAATCACAGCAGCATCAGGTGGTTGTTTAGTGCAGCGCTGTGCAACCACAAACACACAAAGACACACAAAGACACACAACACAAGCATGAAGGTGAGCAGCTGGAGGTCAGACTGTATGAATGTCCTCCTCTGCTCCATGTGAGTCCGACGTGAAGAAAAAATGGAGGAAAAAAACTTTTGTGTTTTTGTGTGTCTGAGTTGCTGTTTTTTTCCTCTTTGTGTCTCTTTATATTTGTTTTAGTCTCTGTTTTTTGTGTCTTCTAAGGCTTTATGCTAATTTTGTGTCTCCATATGACTGTTTATGTCTTTATGTGGACGTTTTGTGTCACTTTGTGGTTATTTCACAGTTGTTTTCTCTATTTGTGGTCATTCTGTGGCTGCTTTGTGTCTTTGTTGTTAATATTTGTGGCTTCAGGCTTGAGGCAGGTGAGGTGAGGTGAGGCCGGGTCAGGTGCTGGGGGGGCGGAGCCTACAGGTGAGGAGTCAGCAGGTGTGTGACGGCGCTCTGCTGCCTACCTGCTGCTCCTCAGCGCCTCCTCCTCCTCCTCCTCCTCCTCCTCTGCTGCTGCTGCAACACAGACCAGAACCTCCGTCACTGCGACGTTCAAATCAAACCTCCTCCATGTTTGGAAGCTACGACGTGGAGAACTCACCAGACTCGGTTCCCGTCATGTGGGCCAGGACCTTGAAGGACTTGGACTGCACGTTGGCGACCCGGTTCCAGGTCTCCAGGTCCTTCTCTGCGCTCTGCACGGCCTGATAAACCGGGGAGGCGCTGAACTGGAGGGAGTCTCTAACTGGGAAGCTACTGCAACCACAGACAGGGGGCGCCGCCACAGCCGGGCCGTCAGCACAGAGACACTGAAACACGACTTCAGTCCAGATCCATGAAACCGACCCGCTTCTTTGATTTAGCTCAAGTTTTGGAGGCAAAAAGCTTCAGAATGTGTTTAAATCAACCCTCTGATTTTCCCACAATGAAGTGAAAGAGGCTGAAGAGACAAACGTGAGGAGCTGCTGCTGGAAAAGAGAAGCTACAGGATTTAAAACCAACAGTCGTGTGTGTGCTGGAGATCAGAAGGTTGTTTTATTCTAACTGATTCAGACACCAGGAGGAGGAGAAACGGATCAGAACATTCAGTTTGTCTCAGAACTTTGATCGTTTTTTGTTTCTGTTGTCTTCTAGCCAACGTTTGTCTCTCTGACATTGTGTTCTTCTTTGTGATCTTTTAGCATTTATTTTAATTTCTTCTCTTTTTAGTGCTTTTCATCTCTTTTCTGTCACTTCGTGGCCGTTTTATGATTCTTCTTGTTCATTTAGTGCCACTTTTTGTGTCATTTGTCATCATTTTCTGTCACTTCCTGCTCAGCTTGTCAATTTTTGGTCTCTTTTGTCATTTTGTGACTATTTTTTTGTCATTTTGTGGTTCTTTTGTGTCTCTTACTCGTCATTTCATGTCTCTTTGTCATCATTTTCTGCCACTTTGTGAACATTTTATGTTGTTTTTCGGTCTTTTGTGTCATTTTGTGGCATTTTTCTATTTTTTTTGCTCATTTTGTGCCACTTTTTGTTAATTTTGTGTCACTTTGTGGCCATTTTCTGTCAATTTTTAGCCTCTTGTGCCACCCTCTGGTCATTTTCTGCCACTTTGTGAACATTTTATGTCACTTTTGGTCTCTTGTGTCATTTTGTGGTTCTTTTGTGTCTCTTACTAGTCATTTCATGTCTCTTTGTCATCACTGTGTGTCTCTCTGTGGTTCTGTTGTGTCTCTTTGGAGTCATTCTGTGTCTGTTTTTCTATTTTGCATGTCTCTGTGGTTGTTTTGCGTCTCTTTTTGGAGGTTTTTCTGTCTTTGTCGTGTTTCTATTTGGAGCATTTTTTTGTCTCTGAAGTAATTTCACGTCTCGGTGTGATCTCTTTGTGTCTCTTCAGATATTCTTTACAGTTCCTTTAGTCTCTTTATGGACGTTTTCCGTCTCTTTGTAAATAATAATTTTGTGTTTCTTTGTGTGATCGACAGAAACGTTAAATGGACCAGGAGCTCTGTAAACGTGCTCGGTAATCCTTTCACTCTTTAACACAAGAAAACTCAGCAAAACAAAACCTTCTGCGTCTGTTCAGCTCCGTATGCCGACGCCGTTTCTCAGGAAACGGAGCTGTGATGATCGGAGAGACGGGCGAGGAAGAGGAGGAGGAAGAGGAGGATAACCGCCACACAGGGCTGTAATTGGTTTTTCAGAGGAGCTCATCCTCAGACGGCTGGGAGGTTTTGTTCCAGCTAACATTTCAATTAGAGCGGGTTTATCTGGGTGTAAAAATAGGCCGGCCGAGATGAAGAATGTGCGCGGAGATGTTTGGAGCGAGATCATTTTTCCTCTGGAGGTACAACCAGAAACACTTTTCATGCACACACAGCGGCGCGTCTCCCCGAGCAATTTTCCAGAAGGATGGAAAATTGATTGTTAGTGTAATCTGGCAATCAGCTGCTGCAGAAAAATGGAAAAGGTAGAGATTTGTTTTGCTTTTCTTTACTCCAACTGCTGTGACACAGTTCAGTCCAACAACAGCAACAACGAGCCTCAAAGTCAAAGTCCTGCATCCTGTGACTTTGAAAAGCAGAATCGGGCAGTTTGAGGACAGCAAAATGAAGTGAAACCGCGTTTTTAAAGAGCTGAAACCTGCGTTAAACACCTCAGACCATCTCAGAACACCGCTGCAAGTAAAAAACCAACAGACCTTGAACACCACAGCGTCTAACGCCTTGAAAACGTCACCAGAATCACCAACAACATGACAGAAAACATGATCCAGTCAGAGGAAAACTGGAGACAAACGAGACCAAAGGAAGGACTTCATGTGAGATTAATCATCGTATTACTGCGTCAACATCCAAAATAAATAGAGAACAAAGGTGAGAAGAGGAGGAAGAAGAGCTTCTGTCTTCAAGGAATATTTCAAGTTATCAGCAGAACGTAAAGCGACAAAAAGACTTTAAGGATGATTCTAGTTTATTTCAACCTGTTGATGCGTCTCTGATGTAGAGATTCAGGAAACAGGGACAGAGTCCGACAGTGACCTCTGATGAACACATGAATCACTTTAAATGTTTGTTTTCAGTCCGACTCAAAGGAAAAACGGGCACTAATCGGACTGCATTAGCTTCTGCTGAGCGCCTCGGCCTCAGGTGATGCTGTGGAGGTGAAACATCACCTCCAGGATGTTCATCAGAGCTGCACACAGCTGACATTCGTCTCATCGTGGAAACAGTCTGACATCAGCAGGTCCAACTCTGACTTCGTCCTCTGAGATGCTCCACTTAAGACAATGAAGACAAGTCTGGAGACAGTTTGACTCACAAATGGGCGAAAATAATATCAAACAAACTTTAGAAAATAACAAATATTTCTCCTAAATGACACAAAAAAAAATCCAAAATGATTCAGAACTTGTCCAAATGGACATAAACTTGTCAACAATAACATCAGTTTGTCCGAAGTGACTCAAAATGATTCAAAACTTGTCCTCAGTTATTTAAAACGTGACTAAAATGATTCATAAACCAAACATAAGTTTCTCCAAAATATTAAATCGACAACACAAACTTTTCTATAAACTATTCAAAAGTAGCTCAAAATACTCCAAAAATAACAAAACCTTGTCCAAAATAAAGCCTTTCCATGATGACATAAACCAAAGCAACTCAAAGCTTGCTCAAAATTATTTAAAAACTCTCCAAAAGGACAGAAGATTGTCTAAAATGACTCAAAACTGGTCCAACCTGACATAAACTTTTCTAAAGTGACAAAACAATTGTCCAAAATGAGTTAAAACTTGTCCAGGGTGGGTCAAAACTTGCAGAAAATGACTCAGAACTTGTCCAATATTTTCTAAATCTGTTCAAATTGGCATAAACTTGTCTCAGAATATGTCCAAAATGACTCAGAAACTGCCCAAAATGATTCAAAACTTTCTCAGAATGACTCAAAAATGCATCCAAAAAAGCATAAACTTGTTCAAAATGACTCAAAAAGCTTTTCCAAGATGGTTCAAAATTGTCCAAAATAACAAAACTCAAAGACTGTCCACAACGACATAAGCTTGTTTGACATCACTCAAAAATTGCCCATAATAATTTCAGCTTGTTTAAAATTACCCAAAGATCTCCAAAATTATCCTAAACTCATCCAAAAAGGCACAAATCTTGTCAAAAATTAAAAATGTCACCAAATGGACATAAACTTGTCCATAATGACATGAATCTGTCAAAACCAGCACATACATGTCTGAGAACGTGTTCAAAATGACTCAAAACTTCGTCCAAAAAGTTTTAAAAACTTCCCCAAAACACTCAAAATGTGTCCAAAACAGCATAGCATTTTCCAAAATATCAAAAACATATCCAAAAAGAGCATTTCCATCATGAATCTGTAGCTCTGATAAAGATCCTGGAGATCAACGAGAAGATAAGACCGAGACGTTCGGTAAAAGCTAATTAGATAAACGTCAGTGAAAAGAAAGAAGGCTGCTGGAAACTCGTCACTGTGATTTCCAGAAGACAGGGTTGAGAGAGGAGGAGGAGGAAGATGAGAGGAGGAAGCAGGAGTGCACACCGATAAGAAGAGGAGGAGGAAGAGGAGGTGTTCTGGGAGGAAGAATTAGACGGTAACGCAACAGGAGCAGGGCAGGAGGAAGAGGAGGAAGGTTACAGAGGAGGAAGAGGAGGAAGGTTACAGAGGAGGAACAGGAACAGGAAGTGGCGCTCTTACCCGGCGTCGTGCCCTTTGGCCTGCGTCTGCCCCGCGATGGCGTCCATGATGGCGTCCTGCGAGTACATGCTGATGGGCGTGTTGTACTGGGCGTGGATGATGGTGGCCTTACCGCCGGGACCCGTCACCTCGATGGGCTGGTGGGTGTCCCTCAGCACGCCGGGGTTGAAGCCGGCGCTGTCGGGGAGAAAGGGCGGCGTGGACGGAGGGAGGCGAGGTGGAGGTGTGGAGGAAAAGGTGGAGGTGAGGGCGGTGGGTTGGTGTTAAAAAGAAGAAACACCCAGACCAGGCATGCACACGGCAAACAGGCCGACACCGATAAGAAGGCCCTACCCGGGCTTCCAAAGAGCTGCTTCATGCAACAACCAACTGAGTTTTCTTCAGAACACAACGCAGAGCCTCACAGGACGCTGAAACTCTGCCCCAAAAACCCTCCAAAGTCTTTACAATCTGCACTGATGACCCCTAAAAACAGTTCAGTTCTAAGGTGGGCTGGAGTCCCACAAGGCTCCATCATCGGCCCCCTTTAGTTCCTCAAATACATTAAAGGGAAAAAAAAGTGTAATGGTAAAATTTAGCAAACAGTGCGACTATAAAACACACATGTGCTGGTGCACCTGAACAACAACGTTAATCCAGAGCCTATTGTTGTCTGTATCTTCTGTGTCAAACAAACACACAACAATCACCCAACAGTGGGGACCATAATCATATCGTCTCCTCTCAACAGACAAACCAGGATCTGCACACTCAGCTAGAGACGAAGATTAAATCTGTTCTGTTTAAACACAGCTGTAATTAGACGTCATGCTTCAAACGTCCACATGCTTCCATCATGAAATGTCACCGCAACAGCAAACCCAGAGAAACGACGGCGACCTTTACTGTCACCACACAAATGCCAGGAGGCGATCGTATCAGAGCAGAAACACAGACTTCATCGTTTATCCTTTCTGCTGCTTCCCTGCGACACATGAAGCCTCGGGGTGCATGCACAGCCAATCAGCACACGGCAAGCAACGAACCAGCTCCCACAGGAGATTTATGAGGGATAATCGACTCACTGTGGCTTCATTAGCAGCACACTTCATCTAGTTCAATTCCTTCAGTTTTAAATGTCTGCTTCAGTCAGCTCAAACATCGGCCTCGATTTGATTCCAACAACAACTTTTTAAACCATGAAAATGCACGATAACAGCAACACAACACACCCCAAGGAGGCAAACGTCCCCAAAACAGAAGAGAGTTTGTCTGTTTTGATTCGATTTGAGTTGCAGGTGGAAGAAATTAGCCACAAAAAACCAGCGATAGTTACCCCTGTGGGTCTGAAAGGCATCTTATCTTTTTTTAAAAAATTGCACAATTTATCCCAGCGAGGAACTTTAAAAACAGAAAGAATCATCTGCTGAAGGAAATCTCAGCTTAAAGTCTTGATATTGCACAAAAAAAACCTTTAGTCTACACATCTTATTTTAAAAATTCCCCCAAAATAAACAGTTTGCACTAAATAGATTCTGTAAAAAGGTAAAAATTGTTGTGCTCCTCTGTGCAGCCATGAAGCCATTAGTGGATCTTCTGCAACCAACAGTCACAGGACAAAAAATCAGGGGCTTTGGGTTGAGCTGCAGGCAGTGTTTAGACAGAGCAGAGAGGAGACGAGTAGTAAAAACAATACGATTAATCAAATCTATCGTATGTTGAGTCATATTTTTTTCCCGAGGGTTGGAAACACCTGTGGATTCCAGATGTTTTATAGTTTTGTAAAATAAACAATCAAAGAAATTCAACTTTTGTTTTCTTTTTTTTTCTTCTGATTTTAAAGGTTTCCTGTGAGGTAAACTCTGTCATACTGCACAGAGAACATTTGTAGGTTTCTCTACTTCTAGTCATGGTGGTGCTGTTTCAGTAGAGGTGCAGGACTTCTGTCAAAAAAACCTCAGTGTCTGTCTATTAAAAAAAAAAAAAAAAAAAGGCTTTTATTCTGAAATTTCTCGTGCAAATTTCTCTTTAACAACCCCAAAACAGCAGCGTTATGAGATAATGGAGCGATGATGCACCTGATGATGCACCTGATGACCCCCCACAGCACCAAACCATGCCTGCACAGAACAGAGCAAACACACATCCACGATGCACTCAGCAGGAGAGGAGGATACTAACTTGGGAGCAGCGGGGGAGAAAACCTGGTTGGACCAGCAAGGAGGGAGGTGAGGACGAAGAAGGAGAGAGAGAAGAGAGAGGAGAGGACGTAGTTAGAAAACACATTGGGTTTGTTCTGGAGTCCTTCGGCTGGAGGAAAGTTAAACCAGCAGCTCAGCGTCCGACGGGCTTCATGGATGGAGGACGGCGACGTTCTGGAAACCTCCTTCAGATGTGTTCATGAAAAACCTTCTCACAACAGGCCTGAGGCAAACTTTGGATCTGAATGTAGAACCACCCTGACTTAAGACATCTGCTTTTCAGTGATTCTGTCCAGATGTAACCAGTTGTTCTTCCTCCGTGGGAATTCAGGCCAAAGACAGAATCACGTCTGTGCTGTTACGAGGTGATCGATAAAGAGGCTGAATGTAGACGCACAAGAATAAGTTTTATGACAAACGTACGAGGATGAAGACGGGACACGAGCAGAGATGCAGGATACAAACGGCTGCAGGTCAACACAAGAGAAACACACAAAGCTACAAACACCTGAGAGGGAACGAGACGAAGACGTGAAGGAACCGAAAAGACGCACAAGAAAAGATCAGAACAGAACGAGACACGGAAGCAAAAAAGTAAATCTCAAAGGAAAAAACAAGAGACCAGACTATTGATTTGTTAGCAGGTTTGTGAGAGTTTTCAGCGTCATGAAGTCGCTCTGCTTTAACCTGCTAGATCACCATGGTAACTGATGCTGTAAAGCTAACCTGATCTGTTTTAACCTACTGCATCACCATGGTAACTGATGATGGTTCAAAAGCAATGTCTGATTGTCATTGGTTAATTTTCATAGAATTTTCATTTATTTTTACTTTTGTCAGCTTCAAGTTTTTTCTGTGACCATTGTGGGATTTCTTTCATTAACTGAGGGGTACCAACTATCTTGTCCACGTGCGTAGTGTCAGATTATCGAGTCACGACTGTGTCTTAATTAACATGATTAACAGCATTCCTCTCTTGCATCATTCACAGTAGCAGCGCTGCTTTTTACTGCGACAAGTTTTTAGATTCTTATTTCTGTATTTTAACAACCTGCTGCGTCACACGATTGGTCCGTTTTGTGCAGAAGGAAAGTCATGTGACACATTAAACCTTTGATGTGGACTCACTCAGAGCCTGATGAAGAAAACCTGGTTTAGTGTATAACTACCCTCGTGATCCTCGTTATCTCTGACTGAAGTTTAAGGTTTAGTCGAGCCGGCTAACACAAAGAAAGCCTGGATTTATTGAACCTGCTAAGAGCTCCGTTTCAGTGTTTTTGTTCTATATGTGACGTTCAGGTGCTTTAAATCAACATACTGATGATGTGATGAAAGTGAGTTTATTAAAAATCCATCTGCAGGTTTGTGAGTTTGTGCATATTAGTGTAATTTATCCAGATGTTTATTATAGTAGCTCCTCCTCCTCCTCCTCCTCGCTCTTCATCAACAGCCTCCGTCGTCATCACAGAAGTTGATCCAGACGGGTTTTGTTCTGCTTCGTACGACACTGAATGTTCTGACGTTCCTGCGGTTCTCCTCCTCTTCAGGGTCAAGGTTCAGCGTTTCCATTCAGTTTCAATCATTTCCAAATCTGTGTCTGCTTGCAGCGCTACAGTCTGACCACCAGGTGTCACTACATAAGGCCAAACCTGTCAGACGTCATTGTTCTATAGTTTCAGAGAGTTCTTCTACAGATCAGGGGTCATGAAGATGCAACACCATCCATCCTGTGCTCCCTTTAATCAGCTCAGCCTCCCGTTTCCTCCCCTAACCTCTGAACCAAACACCCGGTGTCCTCCTCGTGGTCTCTACCTACCCGGCAGGCAGACCCGCCTGAATGGCCGCCATCTCCCTCAGAGTCTCCTCTGAGTACAGGCCGATGGGGGAGTTATACTGCCTCCTCTGGGCGGGGCTGACCGCCGCTGCTCTCCTGCCGGGAGAGTCGGCCTCTGCAGGCCCGGAGGAGGCACTGCAGGCCGACGGGCGGCCGTTTACCTGCACCGGCTGGGGCGGCAGATGGAGGAGGAGGAGGGGAGGAGAAGGAGGGGAGGGGATCAGAAGGTAATATCTGATCAATAAGTCTGATAAACAAGTGTGTAGGACTAACCCTCTGAACCCGCCTCTAAATTATAAATATAAGTCGTAAAACATCAATAATACGTAGAGTCACCATGATGTTTTCAGGTATAATGCAAAAACGTGTTGGTTTCTTTTCTTTTTTTTCTCAATTTTGGGGAAAAGTAATACAAGAAATTCAACTTTATTGTGATTTACAGTAATTTAACTGCACAGGAGACACTTCTGAGGTCTCTCTCCTTCTCGTCCTGGTTGTTCTGTTTCCGTGGAGGTTCAGGACTTTATGATGCTGTGAAAAATGAGCCCACAGCGAGTTAAACTGTTCAGAAACTGCTGCTTGGAGTTCAGAGGGTTAATACATGCCACTGGCTTTATTTTAGTTTAGTTTTTTCCTCAGCAGTAAACTTGATTAAAATAGAATTAAAGGCCTGAACGCTGCTGCTGCTGCTGTGGAGTTTAAACATCAGACATGTTTTCAGCACAGTTCCATGGTTTTATCGGCAGATGCTGTTCTGGAGGTTTGTGATGGTGTCAGAGCAGAAAGTCTGTGATCACCGGGAGGCAGCAGCGAGTCGCTGTCAGCCGCTGTGTGTGTGTGTGTGTGTGTGTGTGTGAGAGTGTGTGTGTGTGTGTGTGTGAGAGAGTGTGTGTGTGTGTGTGTGTGTGTCTGACAGATCAGTCCAGATGTTGTTTATATAAAAACACACAGTACGACCAAAATGACTTCAGCATCAATAAATCAAATGAATGTGTTCATTAGAAAACACATGAATTCATGTTGACATGACTGATACAAACCATAAATCAATGAGTGAATGAATGAATGAATGAATAATTAAATGTTATTGTAGACAGTACATTTTTTTTTAAATTCTGGTTTTATTTATTTCTTTGGACTTTTGTTTGTTTATTTACTGCTTCTTCCATTTGCTTCAGTGAATTATTTAGTTCTGTATTTTTTTTCGTGTGTTTCTTGCCCTATTTAAGCGTCATTAGTTATTTATTATTCAATTATAGATTTCAAGCTGTTTATTTATTTGAGCTTTTAGCAATGATTAAATATAAGTAAAATTACTGATTTTTAACATTATTATTATTCATGCATTTAATGACTGAGTTCTGTATTTTATTTATTTTTTATTAATTTCATTTTATTCATGGATGAATTTATTTAGTTCTGTATTTATTTATTTATTTTTTTTTACATTTTTCTTCATTTAAGCATTAATTTATTTCAGCACTATTTTTTATTTCAGCTTATTTTCATGGATTTAAATATTTATTAAATCATGGAATTAATATTTATATTTACATACATATTTATGTTTTATTCCTTTTTTATTTTAAATCAGTCTGAGCTTTTATAAGTGCACATATTTTGTTCTGTATTTATTCATTTTTCTTTATTTTTTTCAGCCTCATATTTAATCATTTATTATTATTCATTTATAGAGTTTAAGCTTATTTGAGCTTTTAGTAATAAAACTACTGATTTTTTTATATTCATTATTCATGCATTTAACTACTGAGTTCTGTATTTTATTTTCTTATTTATTTCAGCTTTTTCGTGGCTTTAATTATTTAGTTCTGTAATTATTTTTTGATTTTCTTCATTTAAGCGTTTATTTATTTCATTAGTATTTTTTATTTCAGTTTGTATTCATAGATTTAATTTATTTAAATATCTATTAAATCAAGAATTTTATATTTATATTCATTTATTTAAATACATATTTAATCCTTCAATATGAGCTTTTATATACACACTGATTTATTTAGTTCTGTTTAATTTCTTCCCTTATTTGATCATTTATTATTTCAGCATTATATTTATATTTTATTTGTGAAATTATTAATTAATTTCTTAGTTTATCTCTTTAAGTTTTTATTTATTTATTTGAGCTTAGATACAATGTTCCCTATTAATTAATTTTATTCTTCATTTTTTTATCTACGTGAGCTTTTTTTATTTCAGCATATTTTTTTAAAGTTTATCTCCTAATTTATTGATACCTAAGTCTTTTCTTTGCTCACTGAAAGCAGAACAAATGAACAGCTGCTATGTCATGATGTGATGGATGTGAAATAACTCATGAACAAAACACAAGTTCACAGGAAAAGGTCTGAGACACTGAGGAGGAAACAGAAACAACGAAGACGTGAACGAGACGACAAAACGTCTGAAGACAAGAAGAAGGAGAGTTAAAGGGTTTTCACATCCAGCATGATCAATAACTGCTGATCAGTGTCATGGGGACATCCAGGTGGATCTATAACGCAGCACAGAGGCATTATGGGTGGAATTACCTGCTGGTGAGGGATCATGGGAATGGCGGCGTCCATCCTCGGCGTCGGCATGGCGACGGGACGCTTCGACCTGAAGGAAGAAACAGAACAGAGGAGGTGATGCACATGAGAAAATACAACAGGACTAAATATTTATCATATTCTTCCCACAATGCATCCTGCTGCCGTCTCCTCCTCAGGTAAACGACACACCTGGACGGACAAGGAGACGCTAATGTTCAGATCGGTTCAGTGGTGGACGAGTCAACGTGGAAGATGTTTCTGTGGTGTCGTCTTGGATTTCTTTGGGCTCATTTTGTGTCTCTTTGAGGTTGTTTCTCTCTTAAATTTATAATTACTATATATATGATATGATATGTTATATATGACTACATATTATTCATAATTTAGTTGTCTTTTAGTGTCGCTGTACTCTGTGTATGATGACAATAAAAGCCTCCTGTTCTATTCTAAATATAAATAAACGAACACTGCAGGATGTCAGGGCAGCAAGAAGCCTTCGTATAGAAATACTTCACGGTCCGTACACCAACACGTGGAACCCTGAGGACCGTTTGTTGGCGTTTTATTTTGTCTCTGTCGGTGTGTGTGATGGAAACAGGACGCAGGGAGGCGGCAGCATTTCTGAAAGGTCTGGTAGAAAAAGGAAGCCGCAGAAAAGGCTTCAATCTCTGCTACAAGCAGGAAAAGGAGGGTCAGAGGTCAGAGCACCGACTATAAAAAAAAACCCTTGTGGCTCTACAACCTGGACCAGCACGTCGCCTGACTTGGATCCAACAGAACACCTTCAAAGAGGACGGTAGGGCACCACAACCCCATCAGCAGAGAGCCGTCCAACGAGCAGCCACTCTATTCCTCTATTCTGACAGCTGTGGATAATAGAGTCCAGTTCTTGCTGTTGAAACGAGGCTAAAATTGACTGTGGATGTACTCAAAGCGTGGAGCTGATCAGGCTTTAGATAGATAGAACCCATCACGGACTGATTACGGCCTTTCTGTGCTGCTGGGAAACAGAAGGAGCTGCGACCCGACATGAACATTGCAGACGTGATTGAACTGCTCACACTGTGAGTCTTCTGTCATCAGGTGAGGCGGCGAGAAGGTCAAACAGCTTCTCTTCTACCTGCTGCTGCTGCGTGTCGGGGGGTCACACCGATTCCCTGACCCGTCTGCTTCGGCCCGTCAGCGCCTTCACTTCATGCTGATACAACAGCACATCAATAAAACATGAGAAGGATGAAAAAAACACATGACGTCTTATCTCCATCTCCCAGAGGCTCTGTGGCCATCAGAGGCTCTGTGTGCACCAACGTCCATCTCCTCACTGAGCTTATCAGATGCCTTCACCTGACTTTAGTCCTGCGTGACACCAGAACCGTCTACGGCAGCCATCTTTTATCTGTTTTATGTTTACCGTTACATCTGTCTACCCAGCTGAACCTGCGACGATGCACCTCTTCCCCTCAGACATCAATGCTTTATAACATGGTTACTGACAAATAAATATAAAGTTTGTTTACTTCGAATATAAAGTCCTGCACTTTTATGGAAACAGCACAACCACAAATAGTTATTATTATCAAATGTCATCGACTAATTTAGCAAACTGCTGCATTTTTTGGCTGCCAGAGCAAAGATTTAAATTATTATTTGTCTAACAAACAGTCGGTCAATATTTGGAGCCATGACCGGAACTGTTTATTGGGTTTGTTTGTTTTTTCCAAACAACAGTGGGAGCAATGGTGGGAACCAGTTCTTGTTGAACAACATCTGACACATACAGTAGAGCAACAGCTGGACTGTTACTGGAGGTATTTCCTGTTGGAGCCCTAATTGGAACTTTTTCTTCTTAGACAACAGTCAGATCAATAACTGGGACTATTTCTTGTCAAACATCAGTTTGGTTCTTGTTGAACAACACCTTGTTCAGCAACTGGAACTATTTCTTCTCAAACAACAGCTGCAGCGATACCTGGAACTATTTCTTGCCAAACAGCAGCTGGAGCGATACCTGGAACTAGTTCTTGGTAAACAGCAGTCGGTGGAATAACTGGAACGTTTTTTGGCGAACAGTCGTACAGTGACTGGAACTTTTTCTTGTTCACCAACCATTGGTGCCGTCACTGGAACCATTTATCGTCCAACGACAGTCAGAGCAACGACTAAGATCAATAATTGGAGTCGGAGCCATAATGAGAACAGTTTTTTGTCCAACAGTCGTACGATGACCGGAACTTTTTCCTTGTAAAACAAACAGGAGCAATCAGAACAGTGACTGGAACTATTTCTTGTCCCTCCCTCCCAATCTTCAGTCTTCACCTCTGGAATAACTGACCTCTGGAACTTTTTCTTGTCCAGCAACCACTGGTGCCGTCACTGGAACCATTTATCGCCCAGCAACAGTCGGACCCATAACTGGAACTTTCTCTCATCAAACAACCGCCGTACAGTAATCGGAACTACTTCTAGTCAAACAACAGTCAGAGCAGTGACGGGAACTATTTCTCGTCCCTCCACCTCACATCGACCCTGACGGCGTCCATCAGCCGTCACCTTCTCGACTCCCCCGTGAGTCCAGGCAGGACGCTGTGACCTTTAAACGTCCGTGTGACGGGCGGCGGCCAATCAGCTGTCAGCTCTCACTCATAGGCAGGACTTGTCTTTGAGGGATGACGAATGCGTGAGGACGGAGGACAGAACGTTCCCTTCCACCCGTTGGGTCTGACAGTAGAAGTAGGGCAGCACCAAATGTCACCGTGTCACCTCTAAAGCCGCCGATGTTCAGCGCTGGTCCTCCACATTCAGACAAGTCCACCAGCTGGACTGATACTGGGTTTTTATGAGCATGAACTGTCAATAAAATACAAACTAAAGGTTTATTCCACTGAGAAACACACTCAGTCCAACGCTACTGGAAACCTCCAACATGTTTCCTCACCTTTGTTTTCCTTCTCCTCTAGATTTCCTCCATTTATACCGACAAAACGTTTCCTTGTTCCATCTCCTCTCGTCTCCTTCTTTCCTCCTCAAAACTCAACTTCTGGTTTCCCATCTTTCCTTTCCTTGTCTCCTCTCCTCATGTTTCCTGTCCTCTCCTCTTTCCTTGCTGTCTCCTCTCCTCTCAGACGTCCATCAACAGAGCGGTAATCTTTCGTTTCATTTCATCATAACGTCTTTCAGTATTCAGGTCACAGCGATGAAAACATTCTCTCCTTTTCATCCCACATTTCTTATACATCCTGAAAAGCTTCCATCTCTCGGCTCCAGACAGGAAAAGGAGGCGGTCGAGGGTCAGAGCAGAAAGCGTATAGAAAACTTCTCTGTGAGCCTCGTGTCAAGAAATAATGGAAATAGGCTGAACAAAGGAAGAGCTGCTGCAGGCGTACGCTGCCTGAGAGCCGGAGCTCGGGGCAGTAATGGGTTCTTTAAGTGCTGCTGCTGCTTGACGAGAGCCCATAACTGCAGCTCAGACTCACATTTCAACCTTAAACTACAGAAACTAAAGTGATGGCAACCGAATCCAAGACAGGAAAACAGATATTCATCAGAGACAGAACACATGGAGTTCAGAACCCGGCTGGCATTGAGTTTTCTTTGTCTATGCATCCACAATATATAGCAAGCAAGAGCTGCTGACTTAATTCAGCTGTTACCGGCCTGGAACTGACATTAAAGTTCACCTTATATGTATTCACGGAGCTTCTGCAGGTCTTTCACATGCACTGAATTCAGCTTCCTTTGATAAATGCCTTAGAACGTCTTCATCCACAGGTTTTTCCCCTGTATGCATCAGTCTAAAATGCAAATTTATTTAACTTACTTTCATCCATCCATCATCTCTACACCTTAATCCTCACCAGGGTCATGGGGGGCGGAGTCTATCCCAGCTGACTCAGGGTGAAGGCAGGTTCACCTGGACAGGTAACCAGTCTATCACAGGGCTACACTTAGAGACAGACAACCAAGCACACTCACATTCACACCTACGGACAATTTACAATCACCAATTAACCTCAGCATGTTTCTGGACTGTGGGAGGAAGCCGGAGAACCCGGAGAGAACCCACGCTGCACGGGGAGAACATGGAGACTCCACGCAGGAAGATCCCGGGTGTCCTCACCGGGACGTACACACCTGGTTTTGTCTTTAAAGTCAGTGGGTGTGGCTTATATTCAGGTGGGCTCAATTGTCCGGAGATTGCGGTACAATTTTTTTTCCCTCTTTTATTCCCTGGAAAAAAACTATAGCTTTACATCCCATAGATATTTTACTATCAACACTTTTTATGTGTTTGCAGTCGTCTCCTCTCTGCTCTGTGTGAACAGCCTGCAGACGGAAAAAAACAGAATTTTTGTCACATTTGTCACAGCTGGGTAACTAATGCACATAGCATTTGGTTTTTTAGGATTTTTTAAAATTAGATGTGTGTGATAAAGTGATTTTGATGAAATATTATGACTCTAAGCTTAGATTTGGTTTATTTTCCTGACAGAGTAACGTAGGCAAGTGCTTCAAGGACTGCCTGAAAATTGAAAATCCAACATTTTTTCTGTTTTTACAGTTTCTTGCACTAATAAATGTTGTATTTTTGGCAAAGATAACACGACTGCTGGGTTTTGGGGTTCAGAGGATTAACAGATAAAAACACTGCAGCTCTGAAAAACATGAAGTCACTTTAAAATTCCTGCTGCCAGTGCAGGTCACAATCATTTACTGGATTAAATCAAGAGAAATTATTGACAAATTCTGCAGAAAGCACTAAAACTTGATGTAGTAAGTGTAGGCTGTTTGATTGGCTGCAGGTTAACAACACTTTGTCCAGACTGACGGTGAACCTGGGGTTTAATTCAAGTCCTCAAACTGCATCCGATCAGATTCACACGAGATTCAACAAGAGTCAGGATGGGGTTTGAACGAGAGGAGAGTTTCACTTCACTCCTCTAACCAGCTCTTACTTGGCCATGGTGAGCGCCAGGTTGTAGTTGGCCATCTTGATCTTGTTCTGAGCCTCCAGGTGGGTCATCCCCTCGGTGCTGACGCCGTCGATGGCCACGATGACGTCCCCCTGGATCAGGTTCCCCTGCGCCGCCTTGCTGCCCGGAGTGATCTGTCCAAACACAAACGCATTCAGATGCTTTCCTGTTGCTGTGTGTCGGCAGCGTTCAGGTCAGTGCACACATCAGTTATTCAATCACAAAACCCCGCGGAGCAATCAATCAATCGAATGGGGAAAGAATGAATTAATAAGTTAATGGCGAACGTGTCTGCACGCTTAAGTCCCTGTAATCTGACTTTTCACCTCAGCAGCAGAGACTTTGAGGAACATGACACACATTCACGGCACAGTTATGAAAAGAGGACGATGCAGGTCAACCGGCGTGATGCTGAAAACATCAGAACAACGGCTAAATGTGAGGAAGAAGACTTTCCTGGAAAACAATTATGGTTTGCACTCGGCTGTTAACATGTGAGTGTTAGTTCAGAGAAGTCAGTCTGCTTCTGAGAATTTCTGTCAAAGAGCTTCCTGCCAGCGTCAAAACGACAAGAAGTGAGAATCTGAAAATAGGAGTTCAGTTTTTGAACCAGTTTTATTTGTCAGAAACGTGTGCAGACTTCAGGAGGGGAGCAGGAAGTACTCCTCAGTGCTTACAACATGTGCATTTGTTTCCCCACCGATTAAAACATCAGCTCTAAAGTTTCCTCCTTATGTCAGGATTTTGTGTTTTTTTGGGCCAACTACAGCAATCGTTAACATCAGTACCCACCTTCACCCAATCCTGTGGTTGTATCTGCTGTTAAACAGAAGTTAAATCATCATCTGTGGCAGGAAACTTTATGTAAAAAAAAAAAACCCATACTAGCGCTGGTCTGATGTCATTGACTGTCCCAGAAGTCTTTGTCACGGTGCCTGTTGCCGCTAAACCCCCACAATGCACTGCTTGCCAACATGAACTGCCTCCACCTGGTGGAACAACCAGGTACTGCAGCTGATCTACAAAACATTTTCTGACATGCATGGAGAGAACATTTCTGTCTTTAGGAGCTTGTGGAGCCACAGGACACTCTACATGTCCTATGGGAGCTCAACAAGTCTGCTGACCACCTACGTAGCTTTAAGGAAAAGCCTGGATGCAGGGGGGGCACTTCTGTCGGATAGCAAAGTTTTCAGATTGTTAAGAGTCGGATTATCGAGTCACGACTGTACTGTTATTCTCTAACTGGAGGGATTATCTTGATGACTACTCGTTTTCAGGAAGCACCAGGACTTTTACTTGTTTCTGGCTGCTCCACCAGCTCTGGTTCAAACCGCCTGGACGCTGATCTCGGCCGGACTCACGGCTGCTGCTCGAACTCCTGACCTCCCACCTCGAGGCCTCAGCGGCGCCTTCGACACAATGACGGGACACAAGTGTTCATGCCTGAGCGTTAAAACCCCGACAGCTGTCCACACAGCGCCGAGCCGGCCGGTCCCATCCACTCACTCTGATTACTCCCAGAAATCCCTCTCTGTTCTCCGACATCAGCCTCCTATTTCCATCCACCACAGTTATTCTGGCTGCCACCTCTGACCTTCACACCTGGAGGAGGAAGGTGAGGCGATGGAGGTGGTCAAAGGGGAGGTCTCCATACAAAAGTGTTGTCTAATTCAGAAGCTTACAGTATCATCTTTTCTATACTTTACTAGTCTGAACTATGCGACCTCCTCCAGTGGTACGCCACACTGTGACTGCTGCATCTTTGGAAATAAAATGAGCAAATGTTTGAAGCTGACTTTGACAATATCCAAACCTATAAGCATGATTTCTGGAAGCAACTTCAACAAAAGTGATTTCAGTTCTTTATCATCATTATTTCACATCAGCAAGAGTCACAGAAACATT